TTTGAGGTCACCAGGTCAAAGGTCACAGGGGCCTTCACTTCAAAAAGCTTGTCCGCCCAATAACTTTAGATTCCTTTGACCCACAGTCTTCATATTTGGCATGGAGGTAAGTCATGATTAGTAGATGACCCCTATTGATTTTGAGGTCACCAGGTCAAAGGTCAAGGTCATAGGGACTTTGACTTCAAAAAGCTTGTCCGCCCAATAACTTAAGATTCCTTTGACCCACAGTCTTCTTATTTGGCATTGATGTTGATCATGACTATAAGGTGACCCCTATGATTTTGAGGTCACTGGGTCAAAGGTCAAGGTCACAGGGACTTTGACAAAAGCTTTTCTTCTCAATTGCTAAAGAATGTCCTGTCGGCAATGTATTGATTTTGACATTTTCACATTTGAAGCATGTAGAATACATAACTTAGCAATGCACTGGCTTAGTAGCCTCAGATTTGGCAGGGAGGTTTTCCTTGAGCTCTTAATGGCCACTGTTGATTATGACAAAGTGGTATGCGGGGGTATTCACGCCATGATAGTGGCAGTTCTAGTTTATGTTTTATATTGTTTATACATTTAAATGAATTCTGCATGTTTTTTGGTGTTGTTTTTTTCGCCCATTTTTTGTTATCTTTTCTATGAAATATGTACATTTATTGACGGCATTATAGTTGTTAACATGTCTTTTTCAGATACAGTTAGGACATCTACTTTCATTTATGCTTTTGGAGATTTTTTGTCATTTTTAGACATTTTAATAATTCGTAAAAAATATTGATTTTTTTAAATCTGTATCGACAGCTGATAAAGAGAAAAATATCATAGATACAATCATTGAATGTATACATGCATTGAAAGAATGATGTTTATAAATTCCTTTGAAAACTTTAAGTGGTCTTGTACAGAATCGTCCCATTATATAGCTATCCCAAAAACATTTCTTTCATACAGGTCTTTGGAAGTATTCTTTTTCAAAATATAAACAGGCAGCATATACATGTATATAGCTTTATACACTTTAGTTAATACATTTACAGGTACTGACTTGTTAGTCCTTTTATTTGAAATATAATACATTTAGGCTTAAGTTTAAGGCTGCTTCATACCTGCTAAATTTGTGAAATGGAATAGCATTCTGACAGCTATAAATTTGAATGATTCATTCAAGATTTAATGGATTAAGATATCAATAGATTAAAATCCCAACAGAATTTAGCTTGGTCATACAGCACAGATATTACAGGGCGGTCTCTTAAAGTGGAGGCAAAGGCCAATTACTTAAATCCAGAGATATTGTCAGATTGTTGGAAAAATAACAAACAATTCTGTGTTGTTTCAAACTAATTTGTATTTCAGTATTTAAATGTTATCTTGGAAAATTGCATCATATCATTATTATAAGCTCTCCAAAACAGCTTGCCCAGAACGACATGTTCAAGTATTTATTATGCATCAGTGACATTCATTTCTAAACATAAAAAAGGGTGTTACTGACTGCTGATCTTGTACTGTTGTTAATTTAGCATTCGGAGCTTTCCCTTAATGCTTAAACTTTATAAAAGAGTTTATTATTGTAAACATTGATAATTTCTACATGTATTTGATAATCATTACTGATACAACTTCAACCTAAACTTATATAAAAAATATATAGTACACATAATATAAGAAATGGTTCACTTATTCCTATGTGAAGGAAGTTAAACAAAATTAAGCTGGGTTTATCTTAAGTAGGTGAAATTTATGTAAGGCCATGCCCTTAAATTGTCTGTGTCTTGTCTCCCCTAAATATAATAAAAGTATTATATTACCCTCACGAAAATGGTATTTATGGAAACCAGGCTGACATAAAGCTGTACAATATTAAAATGTTGTTAATCTGGAAACAATAGGTCCACAAAATAAGGTAACTGGAAATAATCTGTCAACAAAATAAGGTAACTGGAAATAATCTGTCAACAAAATAAGGTAACTGGAAATAATCTGTCAACAAAATAAGGTAACTGGAAATAATCTGTCAACAAAATAAGGTAACTGGAAATAAACTGGAAAAAAACACAACTGACAATAAGATGGGGACTAATTTTTCCAGAGTATTTCCAGCTTCTGGACACAAATTGACAACTATATGACAATAAACTGGCAGACTCAATATAGCTTGCCATAATTTTATTTATTCTAAAATAATAAGTACTACATGTTGTTATTTTCTTTCAATTAAGTACTTTTTGATATGAACAAAAATTCATTTGAATTAAGGTCCACGGAAAATCCTGCCTATCATCAAAGTTTAGGGCATTTTAGGCAATTCTCTAGGGGGTGATATAAGAATAATAAAAAACTATATATTTCAATGTTTTATTTTTGTATGATGAATATGTATGTTTTTGTTTAGTTGGTTGTTTTTTATGTTGATTTTAACATATTTTTAGCTCGACTTTTTTTTTTTCAAAATCCGATAAAGGCATTGTTACAGTCATGTTGCGGATGCCGTCTGCAATCTTGTATGTGGATCATAACTTTATTAGTTCTTGGTGTATTGTCTTCATCCTAGAGTGTTATCATATCCTTCCTGTTTATAGTGTGTGTTTTTATGTGTTATGTAAAGTGTTGTAAAATCGTTTAATTTTGTAGCCAAAATATTTATCTTATCACACCCTTTATCAACCTTTCAGTTGAAGTTTTGGTTTTGTTATACAGTTATAATAAAAGTCAGGTTTTGTTTTGTGGTTGCATTTTGGTTCTTTAAAAGTTATAATTTTTTATAATGGAGCATTTGCTCTGTGCATATTTATAGTTTGTGTTCTTTGTGTTTGTATTGAACATTATAGATAATTATCAAGATTGATGTTTGCAATTATTTAATGTCTAAATAGTATAGATAAGTAATTATAAAGATATTGCGTTTTTAAACAAAAAAAATGAAAATTTGATTAACTCTTAATGACAATTATAAGCATTTTTAATAAACCAAAACAAATGATTTCAAGTTCTCTTTAAATTATTTTAAAAGCACATTATAGCTTAAAAATGCTATCACTTTTATTTCTCAAGTATTTTTTTTATGGTTTTTAGCTCGACTATTCGATAAGAATAAGTAGAGCTATTGTAGTCACCCTAGCGTCGGCGTAACCACTTTTGTTAAAGTTTTTGTAATAGTTCAAATATTTTCAAAGTCCATGAACATATGGCTTTGAAACTTTGCACACTTGTTCACCATCATGACCCCAACCTGTAGACAGGAGGAGGTTACTCTATCAAGCATTTTGACAGAATTATGCCCCTTTTTTCGACTTAGAATTTACGTTAAAGTTTTTTTAATAGTTCAAATATTTTCAAAGTCCATTGACATATGGCTTTGAAACTCTGCACACTTGTTCACAATCATGACCTCAAACTGTAGACAAGATGAGGTAACTCTATCAAGCATTTTGACAGAATTGTGCCCCTTTTTCGACTTAGAATTTACGTTAAAGTTTTTGTAATAGTTCAAATATTTTCAAAGTCCATTGACATATGGCTTTGAAACTTTGCACACTTATTCACCATCATGACCCCAACCTGTAGACAGGAGGAGGTAACTCTATCAAGCATTTTGACAGAATTATGCCCCTTTTTCGACATAGAATTTACGTTAAAGTTTTTGTAATAGTTCAAATATTTTCAAAGTCCATTGACATTTGGCTTTGAAACTTTGCACACTTGTTCACCATCATGACCCCAACCTGTAAACAAGAGGAGGTAACTGTGTCAAGCATTTTTTTTACTATCAAGCACTAAGAATAGTCGAGCGTTGCTGTCCTACCGACAGCTCTTGTTCACCTGATTGGCCATCCGGCTGTTATCAGTTTCATGTCTGTCCGTGTCTTTTGAACTGGACAGTGGTGGAAGGAAATTGAAACTACTTTGCAGAAATGTTAACCAAGAGGATGTGATATGTTTCTTAAATGGACTTCATTATCTTTCAGTATGGAATAAACCATTCATCATGTTTATACACCCGTTTGTAAAACAGGACGTATTATGGGAATGCCCCTGGTGATTCGGCAGCGTGCAATTTTCTCAGCAGCATATTTCTAGTAAAACATAACTATGAGAAGCCGTGTCATGCACTTGAACCAGGTCTTTAGGTCAAAGGTCAAGGTCACACGTAGAGCTTATTGAAAAATGAGCAAAACCTCTTATATGGATAGAGGGATTTCAGTATTTGACTTGGCACAATTGTTCACCATTGTAAGGCAGTCAGTGTTGCACGCAAAAGTCAGGTCCTTGCAACCAAGTTCAAGGTCACAAATAGAGGTCAGCATTCAGATAAAAATATGAAGATGTGTATAGCGATCATTTAGTCATCATTTATTGAGGGATTGTAACACAAATGGATATTATCATGACTATGGCTGTGAAACACATAATGTTGGTCAATATGTGCAAGGTCAAGGTCACTTGAGATGATGAAATATTCAGATTTTGTCTTGAGCATATCTTCTAATTGCATGGAAGAATTATTATAATACTTTATATAAATGTTCACCACCAGAAAACATATTGCTCCACCCATGATCCAGGTCCCTAGATCAAAGGTCAAGGTCACATTTAGAGCTAATTAAAAAATGCTAGTGTGGAGCAAAACTTCTGCCAAAATACAAATTCTCATCATTGTATGACTGAGTGTAGTGTTCCTGCAGCCACTTAGGTCAAGGTCACACATAGAGGAAAAATATGAAAATATGTATAGGCACCAACTTGCTTGCCACACTTAATTTGCCCACATCTCCACCTAAAGCTTTTGTGACAGGCATATTTATTGCACCCTTGTTATTGAAAATTTCAAATTATCCTTTGTTGAGTGTACAAAACTTCAACATAGCTCTTGTTTTACTATCAAATACTGTGAGTAGTCTAGCATGTTGTTCCTGTGACAGCTCTTACATAACATGTATTTTTTTTTTCCTATTTTTAACTTTCAAAATTTAAGAAATTAACAAAAATGAATCATTTCTTTTCAGATTGTGTAACACCTGTCTTTCATTCCTGATGCAACAGTCTGCAAGAAATTGCACGAATGCCCGGCGATGGATAGCTGTGGCGGTTCTATTCTCACTGTGTATGGTAACATTCTTCCTGTTGGGCACCATGCGTCTTCCACCACACCTCAACCCAGACACAAGCAAATGGTTACCATATAAAGCACAGCCAGTCAAAGACAAGGTAAGAGTTAAATCAGTAGATCTGCTTTGTGTGTGTTTGGTTTGTTTAACCTCATCCCCAGAACAAACTTTATGGGCCAACATCCCTAAGCCTGCTGATGAGGATCACAATTGAAAAGCTTTTGCAATTACCTTAGTACCAGACCAGTCAGCTTGATACCATACCAGTCAGCTTGGTACCAAACCAGTTAGTTTGGTACCAGACCAGTTAGCTTGGTGCATGCCTAGTCAGCTTCAGGTACCAGACCAGACAGCTTGGTACCAGACCAGACCAGACAGCTTGGTACCAGACCAGTCAGCTTGGTACCAGACCAGACAGCTTGGTACCAAACCAGACAGCTTGGTACCAGACCAGTCAGCTTGGTACCAGACCAATCAGCTTGGTACCAGACCAGACAGCTTGGTACCAGACCAGACAGCTTGATACCAGACCAGACAGCTTGGACAATTTCCCAGCATGCAAATTCTTTAAAGCAAACTGATATCAATTTCTTGTTGTAACAGACATACGGTTTAATGATATTTAATGTTTTATTTGCTTGTAATGAATGAATTAATTAATTAATTAATCAAACAATCAATCAATCAGTCAACAGGGTACATATTTATGCTTGCACAATTTTGCCATAAGTCATTTTAGAATTGCTCAGATTTTGCATGTTTGACCTTTACAAATCTTAATCTAAAATTGCATATCCATTGGTAGTAGTATTAAGAGCCTAGCCAACCTGTACAACAAGGGTCTTAACTCAGTCATTACAAAGTCCAAGCTTCGTAAATACATTCATGAATGTGGCAGGAAGGTTAAAGGTTAGAATTCAATTCTCCTCAAGATCCCATTGAACAGATGTCATAATTTATATATACTGACATACCTGTGAACAAAGGCTGCTCGTAGAAGACAAGAAGCTCTTTATACACAAATAGTCTTTATTTTGAGGTTACTTTATTTCATTTAATCGGTGAAGGGTTATCGAAAAGTGGCCTTTACAGGCCTCAACACTAACATTTTTAGCAGGTGGTACGCCGGACCACTAGATTTGAAAGTTAGGTGGTCCTTCCAGAAGTTAGGTGGTCAGTTATCATTATTATATCATTTTACTGCAAATGTAGAAAAAAATGTTTAACCTTGATGGCAAAGATGTATTATTAACCTTTAAAGAAAACAGATATTTTTAGATATATATTTTTCATCTAATTAGAAAAGGGAGAGCAAGTCAGTAGGTACTCTATCGTAGAGTTATTTGTTTGTTTGTTTTTATCACATTCAAAAATACACAACATAGCTCTTATTAATGTTAACTTTTATATTGAAGTTATTTCTCCCTCAACTCAAGTTAGGGAATAGTGAAACCATTTGTGTCTAAAATTTTCTTACTGTTATTCAAATATTCATTGCTGATACGTGGTACATCTTATAATCATGACAGTAACATAGTATCTTTTATAGATTAACATTTTTAATGAAACTAATAAATTATCTTATTCTTGTCTTTGAAACCAAGGAAATATCTAAATTATTAAAATAATAACAATGTAACGTTATGTATAATTGTAGTTTAGCTTATTTTTCTCACAGATTTATAATACAGAAGTTTTACCTCCCTATTGCTTGTTGGTTGATATTCATTTTTTACTTTGAGTATTTTTAACATTTTAAATTAATTTTAACTCTAGAAGAAATAGATCTCTTATCGTTATACAGTTAAAATAAAGATAAATAGCTAAGAATTACTATAATTTATGTATATTTTCCAGACCATTTCGTTTGCTGCCGTTATTCAAGTATCTGAAATTTAAGTTTATCCGATATCATATAATTACCATCATCGGATACTCGCGGTTGATTAACATGTAACATAACATAAATGTTAATGGTTCCGCCGTCGGTATCTGACGATGCATAATTACTAGCACCATTTGAATGAATTTTGTACCTAAATTAATATCACAAATTCTAAACTCTTTTAACTTGCAAAACAAATTTTAGCTACTTCAAATGAAAGTTATCGATGACTTAAGAACTTCTTTAACTAATCAGAGATTAATGAACCATTTACATGTACATCGGACATTTAACAAAATCATATAAACTGTTTTTGATCAAATCGCCATTCTTCCAAATGAGCTTTGCATCAACCAGAAAATTCAAGTGGTCCAACGGACCAGTGGGTTTTAAAATTAGGTGGTCCTTGCCAAAATCAAGTGGTCTCGGACCAACGGACCACCGCTAATGTCAAGGCCTGCTTTATCTGCAGGGTTATCTTTATACAGAGGTGCTTTTTAACACAGGTTTGAGTGTATATAATGTACTTGCAGTTATGGTTTGAGCATTCATGTTTGAAGACTGGTACACCAGATGTATTTGAAGATCTAGAGGTCATGATGACTGAGTGGAGAAAGTCCAAAGATAAAGAATGCAGGTAACCTAACTTTCCTACAGTGTTTATGCAACTGTCATTATACCCCCACAAACAAAGTTTAGGGGGGGTATATAGGAGTCAGCTTGTCGGTCGGTTGGTCGGTCGGTCGGTCCACATCATGGTTTCCAGACGATAACTAGAGTTTGGAATGAGGTATTGTAATCAAACTTGGTATATAGCAACCTTATGTGGAAACTCCGTTTGTATTGCATTTGGACCCCCTGGGGTCAAGGTCAAGGTCACTGTTACTAAATATAGAAAAATGGTTTCCGGACAATAACTAGAGTTAGGAATGAGATATTGTTATCAAACTTGGCCTATAGCAAGCTTATATAAAGACATGTGTTGGTATTGCATTTGGGCCCCCTGGGGTCAAGGTCAAGGTCACCGTTACTAAAAATAGAAAAATGGTTTCCGGACAATAACTTGACTTAGGAATGAGATATTGTTATCAAACTTGGCCTATAGCAAGCTTATATAAAGACATGAGCTGGTATTGCATTTGGGCCCCCTGGGGTCAAGGTCAAGGTCACCGTTACTAAAAATGGAAAAATGGTTACCGGACAATAACTTGACTTAGGAATGAGATACTGTAATCAAACTTGGTGAATAGCAAGCTTATATGAAGACCTGGGTTGGTATTGCATTTGGACCCCCTGGGGTCAAGGTCAAGGTCATCGTTACTAAAAATAGAAAAATAGTTTTTGGACAATAACTAGAGTTAGGAATGAGATATTGTAATCTAATTTGGTGTATAGGAAGCTTATATGAAGACCTGGGTTGGTATTGCATTTCGACCCCCTAGGGTCAAGGGTCAAGGTCACCGTTAAAGTGTTACTGAAAATAGAAAAATTGTTTCCGGACAATAACTAGAGTTAGGAATGAGATATTGTAATCAAACTTGGTGTATAGCAAGCTTATTTCGAGACCGCAGTTGCGATCACAATTTATTGAAATATTTCTTTGTACACAGTTGATAGTTTGCGTTCAAATTTTTCTTCAGACTACTTTTTTTTTCAAAAAGTCAAAGTTGCTGGTGGGGGTATTAATCACCTTCAGTGATAGGTCTAGTTGTATTTGTTTTATAAATACTATTTCCAGTGAAAAAAAAGCTTTTAAATAACTAGTGAATAGATTAAAACTGTGTTGATTTTTGGGATGTTGTTGATTTAGAATGCAATGAAAATTGCTTGATTTTTGTTTTTGAGTGTGAGAAAGCTATTAAAGCTGCATGCCTCCAGATCAGCCAACATTTTGAAGAAAATTAAACTTGACAAAAATGTACTAAATTGTTAAGAAAAGTAAAAGATAAAACTAAAGTAATAAATTATATGTTTTGTGCAATTAATGACTAATTTTGCAGGATGTATCACCATATTTCTACTTTGTGACTAATGCAGTGAGAGCTATTTTGGCTTATTTTATCCTCTTTTTAGCTCACCTGTCACAAAGTGACAGGGTGAGCTTTTGTGATCGCTTTTCGTCCGGCGTCCGTCCGTCCGTCCGTCGTCCGTCCGTAATTTTGCTTGAAATGACATCTCCTCATAAACCACTGAGCCAATTTCATCCAAACTTCACCGGAATGTTCCTTTGGTGGTCACCTTTAAAAATTGTTCAAAGAATTTAATTCCATGCAGAACTCTGGTTGCCATGGCAACCGAAAGAAAAATCTTTAAATATCTTCTTTTAAACAACCCTAAGAGCTAGAGCTTAGATATTTGGCATGAAACATCTTCTAATGAGTGTCTACCAAGTTTGTTCAAATAAAAGCCCTGGGGTCAAAATTGGCCCCACCCCAGGGGGTCATTGATTTTCCCTATATGCATATAGTAAAAACTTAAAAAATCTTCTTTTAAAGAACTATAAGAGCTAGAGCTAAGATATTTGGCATGGAACATCTTCTAGTGAGTGTCTACCAAGTTTGTTCAAATAAAAGCCATGGGGTCAAAATTGGCCCCGCCCCGGGGGGTCATTGATTTTCCCTATATGCATATAGTAAACACTTAAAAAATCTTCTTTTAAAGAACTGTAAGAGCTAGAGCTTAGATATTTGGCATGAAACATCTTCTAGTGAATGTCTACCAAGTTTGTTCAAATAAAAGCCCTGGGGTCAAAATTGGCCCCGCCCCAGGGGGTCATTGATTTTCCCTATATGCATATAGTAAAAACTTAAAAAATCTTCTTTTAAAGAACCGTAAGAGCTAGAGCTTAGATATTTGGCATAAAACATCTTCTAGTAAATGTCTACCAAGTTTATTCAAATAAAAGCCCTGGGGTCAAAATTGGCCCCGCCCCAGGGGGTCATTGATTTTCCCTATATGCATATAGTAAAAACTTAAAAAATCTTCTTTTAAAGAACTGTAAGAGCTAGAGCTTAGATATTTGGCATGAAACATCTTCTAGTGAATGTCTACCAAGTTTGTTCAAATAAAAGCCCTGGGGTCCAAATTGGCCCCGCCCCAGGGGGTCATTGATTTTCCCTATATGCATAAAGTAAAAACATAAAAAATCTTCTTTTAAAGAACCCAAAGAGCTAGAGCTAAGATATTTGGCATGAAATATCTTTCTAGTGAATGTCTACCAAGTTTGTTCAAATAAAAGCCCTGGGGTCAAAATTGGCCCTGCCCCGGGGTCATTGATTTTCCCTATATGCATATAGTAAAAACTTAAAAAAATTCTTCTTTTTAAAGAATCGTAAGAGCTAGAGCTTAGATATTTGGCATGAAACATCTTCTAGTGAATGTCTACCAAGTTTGTTCAAATAAAAAGCCCTGGCGTCAAAATTAGCCCCACCCCAGGGGGTCATTGATTTTCCTTATATGCATATAGTAAAAAACTTATTAAATCTTCTTTTAAAGAACCCAAAGAGCTAGAGCTAAGATATTTAGCATGAGACATGTTCTAATGGGTGTCTACCAAATATGTTCAAATAAAAGCCCTGGGGTCAAAACTGGCCCCGCCCCGGGGGGTCATTGATTTTCCTTATATACATAGCAAAAACTTAAAAATCTTCTTTGAAAAAACCCAAATAACTAGAGTTTAGATATTAAGCATGAAACATCTTTAAGTAAATACCTACAAAGTTAGTAAAAACTTAAAAAATCTTCTTTTAAAAAACCCAATGAGCTAGAACTTAGATGTTTTGCATGAAACATCTTCTTATGGGTGTCTACCTGAAGTCTGTTCAAATAAACAAATAAAAGCCCTTGGGTAAAAATTGGGCCGGGGGGGGGGGGGGGGGGGGGGGGGGGGGCTATATACAGGTGAGCGACCTCAGGGCCATCATGGCCCTCTTGTTGGTAGTTTTAGTGGATTTTAAGTGTCATTATACCCCCAAAAACGAAGTTTGGGGGGGGGTATATAGGAGTCACCCGGTGGTCAGGCGGCGGTCGGTTGGTTGGGCGGGCGGTCGGTCGGTCCAGACGTCCGTTGCATTTTCCTTGTCCGGAGCATATCTTGAAAACTAATGGTTGGAATTCAATATAACTACATACAATGGTCAAGCACATTGAGAGGAAGTGCAGTGCACAAGAACCATAACTCTATCTTGACTAATTACAGAGTTATTGCCCTTTGTTACTTTTCCTTGTCTGGGGCATTACTTGAAAACTACTGGTTGGAATTCAAAACAACTTCATACAATTGTCAAACACAATAAGGGGAAGTGCAATGCACAAGAACCATAACTCTATCTAAAGTAATTACAGAGTTATTGCCCTTTGTTGCTTTTCCATTGCTTTTTTTTGTCTGTTGCATTTTCCTTGTCCGGAGCACAACTTGAAGACTAATGGTTGGAATTCAATATAACTACATACAATGGTCAAGCACATTGAGAGGAAGTGCAGTGCGTAAGAAATATAACTCTATCTTGACTAATTACAGAGTTATTGCCCTTTGTTACTTTTCCTTGTCCGTGGCATAACTTAAAAATTTCTAGTTGGAATTCAAAACAACTTCATACAATTGTCAAACACAATAAGGGGAAGTGCAGTGCACAAGAACAATAACTCTATCTAAAGTAATTACAGAGTTATTGCCCTTTGTTGCTTTTACATTGCCTTCTTTTTTTTGTCCGGACCATAACTTGAAGACTAATTGTTGGAATTCAATATAACTACATACAATGGTCAAGCACATTGAGAGGAAGTGCAGTGCATAAGAACCATAACTCTATCTTAAGTATTTACAGAGTTATTGCCCTTTATTACTTTTCCATTGCTTTCTTTTGTCCAGACCATAATTGAAGACTAATTGTTGGAATTCATTATAACTTCATACAATTGTCAAACACAATAAGGGGAAGTGCAGTGCACAAGAACAATAACTCTATCTAAAGTAATTACAGAGTTATTGCCCTTTGTTGCTTTTACATTGCCTTCTTTTTTTTGTCCGGACCATAACTTGAAGACTAATTGTTGGAATTCAATATAACTACATACAATGGTCAAGCACATTGAGAGGAAGTGCAGTGCATAAGAACCATAACTCTATCTTAAGTATTTACAGAGTTATTGCCCTTTATTACTTTTCCATTGCTTTCTTTTGTCCAGACCATAATTGAAGACTAATTGTTGGAATTCATTATAACTTCATACAATGGTCCAGCACATTGAGAGGAAGTGCAGTGCACAAGAACCAAAACTCCATCTTGACTTATTACAGAGGTACTGCCCTTTGTTTCTTTTCCTTGTCCAGAGCATGACTTTAAAACGACTGGTTGGAATTCAAAACAACTTCATACAATGGTCAAGCACAATAAGGGGAAGTGCAGTGCACAAGAATTATAACTCCATCTTGACTAATTACAGAGTTATTGCCATTTGTTACTTTTCCATTGCTTTCTTTTGTCCGGACCGTAACTTGAAGACTGATTGTTGGAATTCATTATAATTTCATACAATCATCAAGCTCATTGAGAGGAAGTGCAGTTCATAAGATCCATAACTCCATCTTGACTAATAACAGAGTTACTGCCCTTTGATACTTTTCCTTGTCCAGAGCATGACTTGAAAACTACTGGTTGGAATTCAAAACAACTTCATACAATGGTCAAGCACAATAAGGGGAAGTGCAGTGCACAAGACCATAACTCCATCTTGACTAATTACAGAGTTATTGCACTTTGTTACTTTTCCTTGTCCAGAGCATAACTTGAAAACTACTGTTTGGAATTCAGTACAACTTCATACAGTTGTCAAGGACATTAAGAGGAAGTGCAGTGCACAAGAGCCATAACTCCATTTTGACAAAATACAGTTACTGCCCTTTGATACTTTTCCATGTCCCGAGCATAACTTAAAACGTACTGGTTGGAATTCAAAACAATTTCATACAATGGTCAAGCACAATAAGAGGAAGTGCAGTGCACAAAAACTATAACTCTATCTTCAGTATTAATAGAGTTATTGCCCTTTGTTCTTTTTCTTTGTCTTTCTGGACTTATTACAGAGTAATTCAATTAAATTTCATCAATGGCCAACCACATTGAAAGGAAATGCAACATACATTAACCACAATTATCTTTAATTGCCCACAACCATAACTCTATGTTTCAATTCTTTTACAAGGTATTCTGTTACTAGTAACATCCTCATTTCCGAAGCAGACTTGTGGGGGTATTAATCACATTTAGTGATAGTTCTAGTTTACAATGTGTTAATCACTTTCTTTGTTCCCTTCAGAATGATTTACTTTTAATTACATTGCTCAAATTTTCATGAAAATTAGCATGAATCTGAAGGCATTCTGATTTTAAGCAAGGTATTGCAGTTTGGGTCAGACATTAGGGATCTTACTTCTATGGTTAAGTTTGAAAATTACTATAATAACATAACCTGAAATATGTTGGAAGCAAATTTTATCAGCCCTTTTTCTTGTTTGTGCCTGAAATAATGCACTGATACACATCTGAGACCTTCTTTCACCAGTAAAGCTGGAAAGTCGCCAATATGACCTATATAGTATTGGTGTGATCCAACCATAAAAATAAAATTGGCCTTTTTTTACAATTCCAGGAAGCTGTTTTTCACATTTCTGAAGTTATTCAGGCTAACATTCCAGGAGGCAGAAATAGTTATCCCAGATGCTTTCTCTTCAAAAGTTAGAAAATGGCTTGGAAATAAAGAAGAATTATTTGCTGAGGCGAAAAAGCAGGTATACTGTTAACCCTAAATGCTTAAGCAATGTAAGGTCTGTAGTATTATGGCCCTTAAATTTCAATGTACAATGTATCATCAATTTTCAACAATTGAGCAAAAATCGATTCACAAATTACAATATTGATACAATTTAAAAACAATTTCTCCCTGTGGTCTCCACTGTACTAACTGATTATATTCAATTTGATATATCCCTATATTGTCATTTATTGGCTTTTCAAAGTGAAATTATGCTCATTTTTTTTTTGCTTTCAAATGGAGTTGAATTAGTCATATAATTCAAAAGATTGCCTATGATAATGGTGATTGACCAATAATTGATAATGAAAAATGTTTGTTACAATATAATTACTACCTAAACTATTAAATGACTACCCCACTCTGACCGTTACTGATACCTTCTGAACAATGATTATCGGAGTTTCTTTTGGCCACGCAGATAATTGATTATTTTTCAGAGTAAAATATAAAATTGTACACAAATATAACAAAACGTCAGGCTATTTTTATTTTACCTGTTCACTGACAATTTTCACTTGGATGGGCTTAAAATGTCACTTTAATGTATCAATACAAACTTTTCTATCAATGAAAACGCTATTTTAAAAGTATATTAAAAAAAAACCTTCTAAAAAGAGAATAGTTCCGTGATAACCTACCAAAATAAACATGAGAGAAAAGCACTGACATTATTTGAACAGTTGAATGATTGTATTTATATTTTCAGACAATAATATCAGTGTATAACAGATATACACGTGAACAGAATGTGTATAACCCTATCAGAAGTAAACGTCCGATGTCTATACCTAAAATACCTGAACGACAATAGTAAGTTCATTATTTAAAGGTCCGGTAACACAATTTTTTCATGGTTTTATTTCATAAATATGATTCTCAAATTAAGATTTGTCAATATTGTAAGTTCCAATAAGCATTTTTTATAAAAAATATTACTGAATTTAACATTTCATGTAAGTAAAGGGAGGTAATTAGAAATTTATTTTCTATAAATTCTTAGTCAAATTTTCCAATAAGAAATGAATGCATGTAATTTATTGATTAAATGTAATGTGCAAAAGTATTTGCAGTACACATTTTACATATTCTTTGATGTTTGAAAATTGTTTTATTTGCATAATTATATACATTTATAATTTTTTGCAAGTGTGGTATACACACAGTAACAATATCAATCACAAAACATACAGGATCTTTGAACAAATTACCCCTCGTCTAGTGGTTTTGGTCCATGTGGAATTTAAAGTGATGTCACTGTTGATGTCATTGATATGACATCATAATTTAAGCAATGAAAATTATTTGCTGTTTGAAAATTGTCAAGTTGGTATTTTCATAAAATTTAACTTATAATCACTATAATTTATATAAAAAGTAATTTTTCTGAAAAACTTATAAAATATTATGATTGTTTATCAATTAAGGTACCAATTAATACTTTGCATCAAGATATTCCTTGAAATTTACCAAGTTGATAAACCTGTGTTATCTTAAATAAAGCTATTAACCATCCAATGACCTGCTGAAACTGAAAGTGATTAATTAGCCATTGCCACCAGTATAGAGCCAGGCCAGCCTGACTATTTTAACTGGGCTCTATAACCGTTGACAGCTCAACTTTTTAGTTCGAAAAAATTTTTACGAAAAGGCAGAGATATCATCATTACTCTTTAGTTAACATTTTTGGATAAGTTTTCATTTATAGTCATGACCTTCGGTACTTCAAACGTTATCACATTGAAAACCTATTTAGAAGGCTCCACCTTGATGAGTTCACATTGTTACAAGCGGCTGCCGCCTCTCAGAGAGCTCTTGTTGTTTTTTTTTTAAATTCAAATCCCTCAATCTATGTATCTTTGTAAATTTATATTTTTTTTTAAAAAAAAATTGTGTTCCAGCATTGACCAGATTGCTAGAGAGACACAAGACAGCTGTGATTTCTGTAAATATAAAGACTCCACTGCCCAGGATGTGTTTGGCCGTATTGACAATAAATATTCTTACAGTGCCTCGAACACGTTTAAGCTTGACCGATGGCATGCACTGTTTATGTTAAAATCCCATCATCCACATAACTGGACACAAGAACAATTCTTAGATCTAATGCTTACCAGTCAGCAATGGTAATTATTGTTTTATTTTATTTTTTTGTTCATAATGCTATGAATGGCTAATTTTGTAATTGTCTATATTAAAAAAAATGCTTGTTTTTGTTGTGTTAATGCTAAATAATGCTAAATTATTGCTGGCAATACATAGCTAAAATAATGTTTCTTTATGGTATAAGTACATACATGTACTTTACAGTTCTTTATGCTTAAGATTAGCTTAAATGCAAGGATTGAAGTAGCTAATTTTTAGCTTTAAGTAGCTGATTTATAGAATATATGGTTATCTAATAGTTTGTAGCAGGCTTTAATAGTTGTATATATATAATTAATTGCAGGCTGTCAACCAATTCCTATATTCCTATAAAACTCCTATATTTTGGGTCTGAATCCTATATTTTAAAAAACCTCCTATTTTTCCTATATTCTCCTATATTTTGAATATTTTTCCTATATTTTTTTAAAAGTATATTGCCGAGGAATTCAAAGAGATTTAAATTTTGGTACTGCTTTTGGCCTTTTGTATTTTACAGGTAAGAGAATGTGAATGCCTGCATCAGCATCACATTGCTATGCTCAAGGCTGCTCACTTCAGTGCTCTACATAGCCATCTGCATGGTCACCATGAAAAGCAGTGCATCAGTTTGTCACATTTATTTCAGGTGACCATTCAGATGATGGTCATGCATTGCTGTAACTTTCTGCTGATGCTGTGGTTTAAAGCTAATGCAGGCTGTCCAGCATCCCTAAAATTCCTAAAAAAGTGAAAAATTCGAAGGGAATTCCTAAAAATGCCCTATTTTTTTCACTGAAATTCCTAATTATTTCTATCTTTTGTACTAAATATACTTATAACTTGTAACCCTATAAACATAACTCAAAGTCGACCATGTTTTGAACATTGTCAAAAATGATTTGGCCATGATTTGCCAACTCAAAATTGATGACATTGAAATGGTTTCGTTTAAACTAAAAGTTACTTTGACTATGTCAGTAACATTGCTATTTCATAATCAAAGCAGTTGTTGATAATCATGTTGACAGTTAACAGCAAAAACACTACCATATCATTGTCCTGAAACTTAAATCATAACCATAAGAGTCCACTTATTCTGGAATATTTTGACACTGCTTTGCCAACGCCAGATATCTTGAATTTTATGTTTGTTCATTTTATCCAAATTTCTGAAGTGGTCCATTTGAATCATATCATATTTAAAAATGATCATTATGAAGCTGTTGTAACAAAATCTTAATTAAAACATGTATAAATAGTTGTCAAAAATTAATGCACAATTTGTTTACTCACAACTCTTTTATTTAAATCTGCATAATATCAAAACAACATTGTAAAGTACTGCATGGTTTAACATAGACTTTGAAAAATTAATTCTTTCCCTCATACTTATTTATTCTTTTCGTATCTTTGTAGGAGAAATTGCTTATTTTGCCACAAAGTTATCAATTTCATTCAGTTCTTGTTCTTTCATTCATATGGTGCAATTTAGGAAAGGCAGACTCATATAATTAATCACACTCAAAATAATTTGGCAGTTCAGTAATATAAAGCTTATTTCCAATTACAATGTACACACATTTTGCAATTATGTGATCTAGATAAAGTGCAATTGAATGGTCTGTGTGATGAACTTTTTTGATGTGCAATTCTTTGTGTTGAATATAGATGTTTCCCATTTTATTTCAAATGACTGTACTAAGGCAAATGCCTTTTTACTTTTAACCTACTTCTACAAAAAATTTCATTTGTCCATAATTATGATTCAAAAGCTGCATTGTGCAAGAATTTCACTGTATAAGAATTCCTTTTAGACACTTGTGGTTATAACATTCCCAAAACATAGGTAGAACATGTTCTTTTTGACATGTTCAGCCATTTTAAAAAAAATGGTTTGAGCATGATTTGACTATGACCATTTCTGCAGGGGAGGCAGTTAACCAGTGAGTCCACACTGGTAGCACCTTTGCTCTATTACTAAACTAGAGCATTATTTGTGAGTTACTTTTGTGTCAAATATGCAAACGTTAGCCCACATCGTGTTCTTATGGGACCTTAGTTTATTTAGTCATAAAATTGCAAATTTTAGCCCTAAAATTTCTATTATGTACCCTAAAATTCCTAATTTTAGCCCTAAAATTTCTGAAATATTACTGTAAAAATTCGCCCTAATTTTATGTTGGAAGGTGCTGGACAGCCTGCTAATGGTTTCCTTCACTTATATGGTAGACATTTTATTGTAGAAACAGCATGTGGAAAAGTAAGAATAATTTAAATTTATACAAGCATTGGTAAGTTAAACAATTTAAGTTGAAAACTCCTATTTTTTTGCCTTAAAATGGTCCAAAAACTCCTATATTTCCTGCTAAAATATTCCTATATTCCTCCTATATTTTGGATAAGACCTGGTTGACAGCCTGTAATTGTTAATTAATGATGCAGTTAGTCATGAACTAACAAAAAAATACAACTTTTAAATATGTTCAGTGTGAATAATTGATAAATTGGGTTTTCATGCCTTTAGTTGCTGATTTACTGGTTTATTATATGAAATTGTGTCAAACAATGTATAAACTAAAGATAAAAGTGATTCATATAAGAAAGAAAAAAAATAACGCCAGAAAAACCTACCTGACTGCTGGAACAGATTTTTTCCTATCTATATTATACATCTTAATCTATCACTGATACCGCTATTACAATAAATTGAGCTCTATGACTAAGATACACTATAATTGCATGGAAATTTCAGGTTTGACAAAGTGTATAAAATAGACAGTTCCTATAAATACCCATCATTGATATGGGACCTTCTACCTCATGCAGGGGCTAGTCAAGTTCATCCTCATATTCATGGTTTCCTTGATAAAGATGCATACCAAGGTCAGTATTCTAAGATGATGACTATTTTATAGTTTTAAAGCGGCCTTCAGCATTTATTTTTCGTTGAAAAATCAGTTCTGTGTTGTTTCAAACTAAGTATTTTAGTAATAATACCTAGGAAAAGTGCATCATATCACTGTTAAGCCTTCTTCAAAACACACCTCAAGAGTTATTTAAAGCACGCAGTGATGTTCATTTCTAAAAATAGAAGATTGGTAAACGAATAGTCTGCTTTACTTTACATATAGAGAGAGCACAGGGTAGATTAGAGGTATGAGTTTCCGCACTGTTTGTTTAATTTATTGAGGACAAATTTAATTTTACACCTTAATTCTTTTGATTTGACAATTATATGAAACGATCTGTCTAAAAATAACATAGTTAACCTTTAAAAAAGCTGAAGGCCTCTTTAACTCTTTTAAACAGAGCTTACAAAATAAATATTTGTTAATTTTCTATTGTAATGTGGTTTTATAATTTTATTTTGAATGCTTTAAGTGGTAAATCATTTGATTTAATAGGACTATATTTAGGTTATCTCTCTGAACATTGTAGAAAATTTCACTGTACCATTTAGGTGATTTCACTGTACCATTTAGGTGATATCACTGTACCATTCAGGTGATTTCACTGTACTTTTTTGATGATTTCAATGTACCATTTAGATGATTTCACTGTACCATTTATGTAATTTTACTGTACCATTTAGGTGATTTCACTGTACTTTTTGGATGATTTCAATGTATCATTTAGGTGATTTCACTGTACCATATATGTTATTTTACTGTACCATTAAGGTGATTTCACTGTACTTTTTGGATGATTTCAATGTACCATTTAGTTGATTTCACTGTACCATATATGTAATTTCACTGTACCATTTAGGTGATTTCACTGTTCCATTTAGGTGATTACACTGTACCATTTAGGTGATTTCACTGTACTTTTTGGATGATTTCAATGTACCATTTAGGTGATTTCACTGTACCATTTTGATAACTTCACCGTACCATTTAGGTGATTTCACTGTAATCTTTAAAAATAATTTTGATGTTTTCACTGCAACATTTTTGGTGATTTCTGTTAACCATTTTGTTGATTTTAATGTAGTACTTGTAAATAAAATTTTCTTGTTATTTAAGGTGCAATGGAGTTATGGAAGAAGGCTGCATTAGATTACAATACTGAAGTTCCAGATCATAATTACTTCACAGATATCATAGAGATGCATTCTATATTAGGTCTTACTGTAAACTATGGCAAAGCTGTTGCCTTCGCTAACTTGGTAAGTGACTGTAGTTTACATTATAGATTTGTTTTTGACGGTTTATTTTATCAACTGTGGGATTATTAGTGTGTCAGTTGCGGAGAAATTGGTAATTACTGGTTAGTTATCAGTGTAAGCAAATTAGGGGAATGCACTGCAGAAATATGACTTAAAATGTGTTGAATTCGACTTAAAAACCAGAAAATCAAATTATATCTGTGTGATAAATGTTACATGATAAATGGTTACGATTCTAGGGATACCCTAGAATTGGTCACCTGGCAAGACTCAACATACCTTCAAAGCAGTATGACATTTAAAACAAACAAACAAAAATCAATGGAATATATTAATTGGGGCTTCCATTGCTAAGTGGTTATGGTCGTTGTCTTCAAACCACTTGCCTCTCACCGCTGAGATTATTTCATGTGAGAAAGCTATCCTGCTAGCTTACAGTATGTCAGCAGTTTTTCTCAGGTGCCTGTTTGTGCCGGAAATAACGCACAGAGCAGTGTAATTGTGGTGGTGGGTTCAAGTTGCCGATGAAGTTTTACATTTTCAGTTTTCATTAAATGCTAAATGTTAAAAAAGTCAGGTGGGTGTTAAGATGGATACAGTATACCTGAAATTACTTGAACATTTTTTATTTTGTCCAGTGTTTCAAACAGCAATTTTTAGCTTGACTATACGAATTATATGGAGAGCTGTCATACTCGCCCCGGCGTCCGCGTCAAGATTTCAGATTAAAGTTTTGGTGCAGTAACTATAACTTTGTCATTTCTTAAGGTATCAACTTCAAACTTCAAATATATGTTCCTTATCATCAACCACATCTTATGTGACAAGGTTCATAACTCTAGCACCAATATTTTCAGATTTATCTCCCCTTGAACTTAGAATTTTCCAAAAAAACAACTATTTTTTACTGTTACTTCTTTATTTGTTAAGGTATCAACCTCATATTTCAAATATATGTACCTTATCATCATCCCCATCTTATGTGACATGGTTCATAACTCTAGCACCAATATTTTCAGATTTATCACCCCTTGAACTTAGAATTTTCCTCAAAAAATTCTATTTTTTACTGTTACTTCTTTTTTGATAAGGGATCAACCTCATACTTCAAATATATGTACCTTATCATCATCCCCATCTTATGTGACAAGGTTCATAACTCTAGCATTAATATTTTCAGATTTATCTCCCCTTGAACTTAGAATTTTCCTCAAAAAATACTATTTCTTACTGTTCTCTTCTTTATTTGTTAAGGGATCAACCTCATACTTCAAATATATGTACCATATCATTATCCCCATCTTATGTGACAAGGTTCATAACTCTAGCACCAATATTTTCAGATTTATCTCCCTTGAACTTAGAATTTTCCTTAAAAAGTATTATTTTTTACTACAACCTTTTTAGATTTAAAGGTATCTACCTCAAACTTCAAATGCTTATTTCTTATCATCAATTACATTTTATGTGACAATGTTCAACTCTTGAAGCAATATTTGAACTGAGGATTTTCTCTAAGAAATATTATAACTTCTTTACTTTTTAAGGTATCTACTTCAACCTTCAAATATAAATTTCTTATCATTACACACATGTTGTGTGACAATGGTCATAACTCTAGTGTGACTATTTCTAGAATAATTCCCTTTGATCATGGAATTTATGTTAACAAATGTTTTTTTACTATAACTTAATACATAATTGATTTTTCTTTCATAGTTTTGTCCTCCTTACTGCGTCCAGTATTTTATTAGTCGAGCTTCGCTGTCTCCTGTGACAGCTCTTGTTTATTTTCTCCCTTCTTTTCCAGGTACCAAAGCGTGATAATGAGATTGTTATAGTCAGTGAGAAGGCCGACAGAGATTTTTACCTACTCTGGTATTATGTGATGAGAGGTAAATTTTTATATTCATTTAAAAAATTAATACTCGTGTGCATTTTTTCACCATAAGAAAGGGGAGTGGTAAATATTAATACATGATGTTAAAATGATTATTTGCTATTTTCTGAACAAAATGTTTAAACCCCTTAAAACTTTGAATTTACTGTTCCAAATTAAAAACTGGCAGTGCATTATAAGAATAGAACAGAAGTTAACCATATTACAAATGTTTATCCCTACTGTTGTCTTTTAATATTCAGACATGTATTCCTTTAATTTCAGGTTTCTTGGATGACATGGGTGAAGGTAGTTTATGTTTTAGTTCTGGCATAGCTCTTCCAAGTATGGTAAGTTGATATTTTCATTGTGATTGTTAACTCTTAATTATGCCTCTGCCATAAAATGGCCTGGGCATATAGTGTTACCCTGTTCTGTCATGCTGTCCTTCCCTCATTCCGTCATCATCAGTTTCCATTCATTATCTTGGTAATGGTTGCACACATTCAAATCAAGATATATATCATCGGAAAATGCAGGTGAAGTTTTCTGAATGGTGTTGGCCAATTTCCATTTTTAAAACAGTTTATCATCAATTTTAGGGATGTATGATGAAATGAATTTTGTGTTCTGATGGTAAACTCTTGAATGGACTTATTTTAATACCATTCTTTCAATTTTTGGGATGTACAATATGTTAAATGTTAAAGTGAATAAAACTTTATATCTGCTGCAAAAATTATTGTTTCAATTTAAAAACAAAATACTTTCAAAAAATATGAAATATATAAGAAAGTGAATTACATTGAAAGTGAATGGTTCATGTGCAAAATCATTGCTAAATGGTTAAAGCGGTTAACCGTACTTGAAATAGTAGAATAATATTTTGTTCTAGAATGTTTTATTCTGTTTAGGTACAATATTCATGTGTTAAATAAACAGGGACATTCTATGTTACAACTCTTTTCAGTATATACCAGAAGATTTTGGTACAAAATAATTTTACTATTGATAAATTTTGTATAAAAACTTTTCATTAAACCCTTTAAAATTTCCTGAATTATATTGACCAATGCCCATTTTCAAAAAATAGTCCATTATCAATTTTAAGGGTATAAAGATGAGAATTTGGAAGTACATTAGCCAACAGTATAGTTTTGCTAAAACATGGATAAGTTCATTCATAAATAAACTCATAAATCATAACTTGCTCACAAATGTTTTATGTTTTTTACCTTTGACCTTTATCAATATGGTCACTAAGTCACTTCAAGCTTTTGATATACGTGTACTACATTTCAACATTACAGTACATTATAACAAAATGCAGAATATCTATGCAACCCAAGAAAACCCAGCATAAAACTACTTTCAGTAGGTTTAAAAATCAGAAGTAAAAAAAACTAACCCCACAATTGAAAAATCGCCCATAACCTATTGAGAGTGGTTTTAATAGCCATTGCTATACAGTCTGGTACCAGACCAGGTACCTCAGCTTCTTGTAGGGTACCAGCCGATTGACAGACACCCTTTATTTATCTTGATTATGGGGAAAATTTCGTTTTAAAATGAAAAGTTAAGCAAATTATACTCTAAAAACAACAGTCTTTATCATAACTTAATAACATTTAAAAAAAACTGTTTACAAAATCTTTTAATCTGCATATTTTGTACCGTTATCACCATATTCAATCATTTATATTTGACATTTATCAGTATTTTATTATTATCACATGTTAAATACCTGACAACAGAGATTGTAATTATGATAGTCATCAGTATTGTAAAGCAGTGTAAATAGTAATATGAAACATTTATATATTACACAGCTCTCCCCTTATAACAGATATACAAATATTTTATTGAGGCATGACTGCAAAATTACAGTAACTTATGTGAAATAAAGGACTTGCAACAGTTTTGCTATCAACCCTCAAATTATGATTAAAGTATTTATGGTTGCATATTAGCCCTCAACATGTTAAATTTCATAAATGGAATTGTCCATCTTCCATTTTTGGAAGTGTCCATTAGCAACTTTGGCGATGTCAAGGTTAGTCAGCCAACAGTAATGAGCCTAGTCACACAGCTGAGTTTCAGCATGTGTGTCCCTTTAAAATTACCAATGAACTGTTCCAGATTAAATGCTGGGCAAGTCTATTGTACAAATAAAGGAATGTCAGGATTGAGTACTGTACTAAACAAATGATTATGACAACAACCAGAAAACACACTGTTGCAAAAGATGTGTATGAATTTAAGTTGAAATTCTAGATTTTTTTAAGAAAAATTTTTTCAACATTTTTCAGTTAAACTCGCCAATGTACTACATGTATTTATGAAAAAGCATACAACAAAGCATAAAAAAGTTACATTAAATACTGAGATATTGTCTTGTAACCGTATCGTTATAAGAGATATATATAGTTATAAGCGTTATTGTTTTAAGTGGTGTTTGTATATATTAAAATGATGATTTTTTGATGATATTTGTAGACTGGTGTGACTGGTAGTAATTCACTTCCTGCTTATGTACGTATACTTACACGAGGGCCAGTAGCTGATATACGTGCTGACGTCAGCTCCTTAGAATTATTTGCGGTAAGTTTAACATTTTTTAATGTTATATAATACACTTAAAATTTGTGACTACAAATCATGAGTTGTATGAAATATGGGTCATGTTTTTATCTCTTTTGTATCTTGCATGTACCTCTGTGTTAATTCGATTGGATTTTAAGTGCCAATATCATATATTTTGTTCATTGGCTTTGTTAAATAGATAAAATGATGGGTGAAATTCAAAGTGACAAAGGTTTTCTGTTTTATAATTGTCCATGTAAAGAACTCTTCAGTGATAAATTGGTGGAAAAACAAATGTGCTAACAACTGAAAGCACAGTCTGTAAAGTTTCAGAAATACATAAATTTTGGAAGCCATGGGTTCAATCCTGTATTTTTTTTTGCTTTATACCCTATTATTTTAAAAATGTAAATGAAATAATAGTTAATATTGTTGCTTGGATATAGAATTAAAGCATTATTTCATATTTTAAAAATCCTTTCTAAGTAGGCTAGTGTAGAATTTAATGCATATTTTGATGGTTGTTGCTGAACATATTCTGCCATTGATCAGTTTTGAAATTTCAATGAGCAATGCAACCTTTGCAGAACAATCATCATTCTGTAGATCCATAACCTTTCAAAAAATCATTTCTTCCTTCCAAAGTGACAATTCACATGAAATTTCACCTCCCTAGAGCAATAACAAAAATATTTGTTTCACAGATGCTGTTGCTTTGCAGAGGGGGTACTGTACATGTACTGTTTATTGTTTTATTTCAGGCATCCAATGCGAACACTGACCCGTATAGGGTTATAAAAGTTATGCAAAGATCAGTGGAAAACCGAGGTGCTAGATCAAGATAGTGTTATTATTATAGTGAAAATTTGTCAAATTTCATACGGAAAAACTTGTCAACTGTTATAGTGAAAAATACTGTCAACTGTGATTTAACTATGGCCAATGAGATTTAGTGTAGAACAATGTACGAAGTATGTTTCTTGTGTAATTGACGCGATTGTTTCCAAAGATTTTAGCTGACCTCAGCCTTTCATTCATATCATGTCTTCATTCTTATAGAATAATTACTCATATTTATTTGCTATTCCGTGCCATTCTAGTCAGTGATATTTTGAACTTTCTTTTTGCATAAAATTAGGGTTGAGTTTCAGCCTTTTCCTAATTGACAGTATTGTTTGAATTTCCCAATTTTAACCTGATTATTACCCAAAAATTCCTAAAGATTTTTCCTAGTATGCTCATGTGTGGTTTTATATGAAAGTGTGTATCATCATATGAAAAAAAGTGTGTGTTTTAAAAAGTTGTTAAATTTTTCTTGTATCTTTTATCATGAAAAAATATGTATTGTTTGTTGCAAAAAAATGAAAAGAACAAAAATCACTGATTCTAGTGTAAGATTTTAGTTCAAGAACATGTGATAATCATTTGTATGCTGTGCTTATTTTGTTTTAACCCTTAACCTGCCGAATTTCTTAAATGGACTCATCCAGCTTCCAATATTTGGAATAGTCCATTATCAGTTTTGGTGATGTCAGGATTGAAATATGAAAATAGTCAACAATATAGAGCCATGTCAGAATGCTAATCAATTTTGAAGATATCAAGATAAATAATATGCGATTGGTCAGTCAACAGTGAAGAACCTTGTCAGACTACACAGAAGTGCTGGCCGACTTGGCTTTATACTGCTTGCAAAGGCTTATTAGTCCCCTACCGGTTTAACCGGAGGGGACTTTAGGTTTACCCTCCGTCTGTCTGTCTGTCCATCTGTCTGTCTGTCAGTCCGTCCGTTCACAAAACTGGATCCCACGATAACGCAAAAAGTACTGAAAATATTTTTATGAAACTTGATATATGGATAGATGGCAGTATGAAGATTATGCAAGTCTTTTTCTTTTCTTCCTATGTTGAAAATTCTGGTTGCTATGGCAACAAATAGTCTGAAAATATGGCAAATTTAACACATAAACTGGATCCAGTGATAACTCAAAAAGTACTAAAAATATTTTTATGAAACTTGAAATATGGGTAGATGGCAGTCTGGAGATTATGCACATCTTTTATTTTCTTCCTATGTTAAAAATTCTGGTTGCTATGGCAACAAATAGCCTGAATTTCAAGATTTCTGATTTAAATTTTTCAGCTTTTTCACTAAAAGTTCTTTATTATTATGCCCCCGCCATGTAATGGCTGGGGCATATAGTGTTACCCTGTTCCGTCCTTCCGTCATTCCGTCCTTCCGTCCTTCCGTCATTCTGTCATTCCGTCATCATCAATTTCCGTTCATTATCTTAGTAACGGTTGCACACATTCAACTCAAATTTGACATATGGATATGTCGTGAGAAAATACAGGTCAAGTTCGAATTTGGTCATGGTTCGATGATTTTTGGCAGAGTTATGCCCCTTTTACTTTATAATAATATGAAATTTTCAGTTTCCGTTCATTATCTCGCCAATGGTACAACACATTCAACTCAAACTTGACATATGGATATGTCATGAGAAAATACAGGTCAAGTTCGAATTTGGTCATGGTTCGATGATTTTTGGCAGAGTTATGCCCCTTTTACTTTGAAAATAATATTGAAATTTTCAGTTTCCGTTCATTATCTCCCAACAGTACAACACATTCAACTCAAATTTGACATATGGATATATCGTGAGAAAATACAGGTTCAAGTTCGAATTTGGTCATGGTTCAATGATTTTTTGTCAGAGTTATGCCCCTTTCACTTTGAAAAATAATATGAAATTTCAGTTTCCGGTCATTATCTCCCCAATGGTACAACACTTTTAACTCAAACTTGACATATGGATACGTCACAGGAATGCGCAGGTCAAGTTCAAATTTGGTCATGGTTCAATGATTTTTGGCAGAGTTATGCCCCTTTCACTTTGAAAATAATATGAAATTTTCAGTTTCTGTTTATTATCTCCCCAACGGTACAAACACATTCAACTCAAATTTGACATATATGGATATATTTTTGAAATGTCCAGGCCAAGTTGGAATTTGGTCATGGTTCAATGATTTTTGGCAGAGTAATGCCCCTTTTACTTTGAAAATAATATGAAATTTACAGTTTCTGTTCATTATCTACACAACTACTCAAATTTGACATATGGATATGTCAAAGGAATGGGCAGGTCAAGTTTGAATTTGGTCATGGTTCGATGACTTTTTGGCAGAGTTATGTCCCTTTCACTTTGAAAATAATATAGATACATCTTAGGAATAAGCAGTTTAAGTTTGAATTTGGTCGTGGTTCAATGATTTTGGACAAACTTATCTTTCTTGAATGTTGGAAAAATTTTGAACTTTCAGTTTCAGCACTGAAATGAATGTAGCCATTATTTTGGCTACAAATATGAAATATGCTATTTTCAAAAGGTTTAGACAGAATAATTTCAGTGCCTTGAACATTGTATGAAAATGGTTTGTGTTAACATTGAAAAGTTTTAAGGGCTTTGAACTTAAAATGAAAAAAATAATTTGTGCAAACAAATTTGGAACTAAATATTATAACATCTGAAATTTTGGCTGCATGCGGGGGCATCCGTGGCATGATGACACATTTCTAGTTTCTTAAGGTGTTTACTTCAAACATTAAATATAAGTTTCTGGTCATCAACCACATCATATGTGACAAGGTTTACAACTCTAGCACAAAAATTTTCAGTATTACCTCCCTTGAACTTAGAATTTTTATGAAAAAAAATGTTGTCATTTTTAAATAACTTCTTTATTTCCTAATGTATCTACTTCAAACTTCATATATATGTTTCTTATTATCACTCAACATTTTTGAGGAGGTTAAATACTCTAGCAAGACTATTTCCAGGATTATGTCCCCCTTGAACTTACATTTTTTTCGAGAAATTGGTATTTTTCACTCCAACTTCTTTATTCCTTAAAGGATTTACTTAAAAATCCCACATTGTAATAATATGGCAAGGTTGTATTTCCTTACTAGGCAGGGAAACTTAACACATTACTGTGATATAGACAAACTTAGAACTCAAAAGATTTATGTTCATTCATGCCATTCATTCACTGGTAAAATTGAATGGCCAATGGCCCATCAGAATGTTGCTTGGGTTCTAACCAGTAGGGGACTTACGGATTGCTTGCAATACTATGATAATTGCTTGTTTCATTTTGGTTCTGGCAGGTTAAGGGTTTATATAAGACTAATTTTTATGTATTAACTTGTCTATTAAGCTTAATAATTGTTTTTGTTCCTTTTTCCTGTTTTTGTATTGTCTGATTTATTGAAGTTTGTCAGTTAAGTAATGAAAACCTCTAGCATGACCACCTCTCCGAGTGATTGTCCAGAAATCTGTGATCTTACTTGAAACATCCTTAAAATATGTGACAGCTACATAATAATTGAAAATCACAGACTCTGTCTGACTGTGCTTGTTCGTTACGGACAATAAAAATTCTAACATCACCTACGTCTCTTAGAAATGACTTTTTATGCAGTACGCAATTTTCAATTCTGATTTTAGAATCAGTGATCCTGAAGGACCAGAAAAAATACAATGGTAAAGAGATTAGGTACTTAGTTACTTTTTAATATTGCCACATACTGGTAGCATTTGACTCTTGCTTTAGTGAGTTTTGCCAAGATTCCAGTTTGGAACAGTCCATTTTAAGATTAAGGGAAGTCAGTATCAAAATACGAAAAATTGGGTTTGTAACATTGTAGAGCCTTGTCAGGCTGCACGGAAGTACAGGCTGCCCTGGCTCTATACTGGTGGCAAAGGCTGATCATTTGTGGTTCCAGAAGGTAATTGGTTCACAAATACAAATAATCATGCTTGTAACTGGTAGTGATTGATATAAAGATCTCATAATTCGGAGGAGATATCAGTATTATACTAGTCCACAGCTTGATGTGGAGTTACTTAATGCATAACTTATACGGCTTTATTGAACTTAGGGGTGTCAAGTTTATCCATTTAAATGGGTTTGGTCAGTTTTTTATCAAAGACCAATTAGAAAATTAAATAATCGGAAACAGATTTTAGTATATGACCAATAGCTGAAGCACCTTTAGATTAGGTTTTAACATTACTTTTGTTTCTTTATGACAAGATATAACATTTTGTTGAATTTCAAATGTATTTTTTCCGATTGCATGCTATCTTATCGTTTATTGTACAGAAAAATCCTAAATGACAACAGTTTCTCCATAATCAGATATGTTTTGTAATTGTTGTCTAGTATAACAAAATACAAACAAAATGTGCTGTCTTATAACAAAAAACAATTACAATCTAAGAATAATTTTGGTAATTGGTTGTGTAAACACGGATATTAAGTTGCCGTTTAAATAGTTAGCTTTTAAGCTCACCTGAGCATATGCTCAGGGTGAGCTATTAGGGTCACTCTTCGTTCGTAATTGGTTGTGTAAACACGGATATTAAGTTGCCGTTTAAATAGTTAGCTTTTTAGCTCACCTGAGCATATGCTCAGGGTGAGCTATTAGGGTCACTCTTCGTCCGTCGTCCGTCATACATCGTCCGTTGTCCGTTCACACTTTTCAAACGACATCTCCTCTGAAACCATAAGGCAGATCATATTGAAACTTCACAGGGATAGTCCTTGTGTGGTGCCTTAACATAGTTGTTCAAAGAATTCCATTCCATGCAGAACTCTGGTTGCCATGGCAACCAAAAGAAAAAACTTTAAACATCTTCTTCTAGAAAACCCAAAGAGCTAGAGCTTAGATATTTGGCATGAAACATCTTCTAGTGAGTGTCTACCAAGATTGTTCAAATAAATGCCCTGGGGTCAAAATTGGCCACGCCCCAGGGGGTCATTGATTTTCCCTATATGCATATAGTATAAACTTAAAAAAATCTTCTTTTAAAGAACCCAAAGAGCTAGACCTAAGATATTAAGCATGAAACATCTTCTAATAGGTGTCTACCAAGATTGTTCAAATAAAAGCCCTGGGGTCAAAATTGGCCCCGCCCAGGGGGTCATCGATTTTTCCTATATGCATATAGTAAAAACTTTAAAAAATCTTCTTTAAAAGAACCCAAAGAGCTAGACCTAAGATATTAAGCATGGAACATCTTCTAATAAGTGTGTACCAAGATTGTTCAAATAAAAGCCCTGGGGTCAAAATTGGCCCCGCCTCAGGGGGTCATTGATTTTCCTTATATGCATATAGTCAAAACTGAAAAAAATCTTCTTCTAAAAAACCCAAAGAGCTAGAGCTTAGATATTTGGCATGAAACATGTTCTAATGGATGTATACCAAGTTTATTCAAATAAAAGCCCTGGGGTCAAAATTGGCCCAGCCCCAGGGGGTCATTGATTTTCCCTATATGCATATAGTAAAAACTTAAAAAAGTCTTCTCTTAAAGAACCCAAAGAGCTAGAGCTAAGATATTAAGCATGAAACATCTTCTTATCAGTGTCTACCAAGTTTGTTCAAATAAAAGCCCTGGGGTCAAAATTGGCCCCGCCCCAGGGGGTCATTGATTTTCCCTATATACATAGAGTAAAAAGTTCAAAATCTTCTATTAAAGAACCCAAAGAGCTAGAGCTAAGATATTTATTATGAAACATGTTCTAATGGATGTTTACCAAGTTTGTTCAAATAAAAGCCCTTGGGTCAAAATTGGCCCCTCCCTCGGGGTCATTGATTTTCCCTTTATTGCATATAGTAATTAAATACT